CACAGACAAACACAGAAGAACTGGTCCAGGACTGGTCCAGGTGCACCTTCTTCTGGACTGTCTGATCAAGCAGCAGCTTTTTAATAAAGGAAGATAAATGTTTTGGACGCAGCTTTAGCTCAGCGGTGATTGGTATGTGCCGTCTGGGTTTGCAGGTTTTGTTCACGTAACAGCCTGTGAGTGTTCCATGAGGCGGCGGTGAGACAAAGGGTTAGTCAGCAGGAACGTGCAGCAGGGCGGGAGGTCGTCTTCCTCACCGTCATGGAAGCTTCTACGTGACCTCAGACGGGTCGACTTCTTCTTCTTCTTCACCGTGAGCTGTTTCACTTTCAGGCCTTTCTGTTGCTGCWCTTCCTCAGCGTCGCTTCTGCAGCTCCCATCAGAGGAGTCTGCGAGGCTGCGTGCAAAGAGAAAGAAAAACAAATGTTCACGTGTGGGACTGGTTTGGTTTCCATGGTTACACTGTAAACAATGCTCTCCGGGACGAGGACGTCCCGTTAAACAGCTCCCGCCCTGACGGATGTCAGAGGTCACCCGGGTTCAGACCGCGCAGTGTCTTTGATCTGATGGAAGGAACGTACCCACCTGTGCTAATTGTTTAAACACACCCACTTCAGGGTGTGTGTGTGTGTGTGTGTGTGTGTGTGTGTGTGTGTGTGTGTGTGTGTGTGTTCCCATTTTGTAACAGTTTGCATCACAGGAAGTTATTTTAGGATGAGGGTTGTTACGTCCGTTGTGTTTCCAAACTACAACTGATCCAACTTTTTTTGTTGTAGGTTTTGATCTCAGACGTTTAAATTTGGAACTGAACGGTCCTGGTCCTGGACTTCATGTGGCCCTGATTTGTGTCAGATTCTGGATCTGGATTTGTGGAGGTTGGTAGACCAGCTTCCTCTCACAGCTCAAAAACAAATCTTGTAACATTTGTAACGTTCATCTTCATTTCCTGCCAATTGTTCATGGTTAGGTCACAGATCCAGCAGGYACAGAATAGAATAGAATAGAATAGAAACAGTCTTTATTGTCCCGCACAGGAAAATTCAGGTGTCGCAGCAGCAGAGACATACATCAATCCACAACAACAGTATACTGTATTACCATGT